ATTTTGTTTAATGACCAAATCATGAGTTTATATTCTTTTCTTAACGTATAATGCGTGTAATGAAAGGCGAAGGAGAGAAGGGGAAACCAATTGTGGTGCTATTAGTGGGCGCCCCAGGAAGCGGCAAGTCCACCTTCTGCGACCAAGTCTTGCGTTCCTCAGCTCGGCCCTGGGTCCGCATTTGTCAGGTCTCATCATTTTTTTCTCCAATTATTTGTATCGTACTTATTTGATAAAATGCTTCACTGAGCTTCATGTTTCTTAGTATTGGAATGGCTATGTAAAAAAAAAACAATCCTGTTCAATGTACTGCTTCTTCTACATATTCAACTGCCAGCAGGAAAAAGGACTGAGTAATAGTTAGGACTCACTAAACAAATCGATACAAGTGTTGTTTTTGAGGGTGAGCACAAAACAATTGGGACATTTGTTGCAAGTCGTTTTCTTCGTTTCATTATTGAAGCTATATAAGAATGTGTATTGGTAATCAAATGATTTTGTCCTTGATTTAACGTTCAGAAAGAAGTGGTGCAGAATTCTAGTGCGCTTGATTGTTACAATGAGCAAATGTGTAGTATTTGAAATTTCCTTAATGGTTGGTTATATTTTGTTTTATATGTATTGTAGGATACAATTAATAACGGCAAATCTGGAACGAAGGTCCAGTGCCTAAAGAATGCAGCCCGTGCATTGAAGGAGGGAAAAAGTGTATTTATTGACAGATGCAACTTGGAAAGAGAACAACGTGTGGATTTTATGAGGCTTGGAGCTCTTCAAGTAGAGATGCATGCTGTGGTCCTTGATCTTCCTGCCAAACTTTGTGTATCTCGATCTGTTAAACGGACTGACCATGAAGGGAATTTGCAAGGTGGAAAAGCTGCAGCAGTTGTGAATAGTATGTTACGGAAGAAAGAACTGCCTAAGTTGAGTGAAGGGTTTTCTCGAATTGTGTTTTGCCAGAATGAGAGTGATGTTCAAGCTGCTCTTGATACATACATTGGGCTTGGTGCTTTGGATACCCTTCCACATGGTTGTTTTGGCCAAAAGAATCCAGATGCCAAAGTTCAACTTGGTATAATGAAGTTCTTGAAGAAAGTAGATGTTCCTTCTAATGCCAGATCCAATGCAAGTAGAGGTCAGGATTCTGCACCTCCTGAATCTACTGAGGTAAAGAATCCCATCTGTGAAGGACGAGAAAACATTTCTTCATTATCAGATACTGCAGGTGAGGAGGGAAAGATAAGTGATGACCTGGTAGTGGACTCTGTCAACCAGAATAGTTCTTTAAATGATGTTCCCACTCTGGCATTTCCATCTATTTCAACATCTGATTTCCAATTCAACCATGAAAAGGCCTCTGACATAATTATTGAGAAAGTTGAGGAGTTTCTATATAAGCTTGGAAATGCTCGGCTTGTATTAGTGGACTTGACTCATGGATCAAAGATTTTATCTTTGGTTAGGGCTAAAGCTGCACAAAAAAACATTAACCCCAAAAATTTCTTCACATTTGTAGGAGATATAACTCGACTTCATTCCAGAGGAGGTTTACACTGTAATGTAATCGCTAATGCTGCCAACTGGTAAGCTTGTATGATTTGTCTCATGCGCATAGAGTTCAGTAGGGGTTAAATGAATGGCTTGAAATATCAAACTTGGGAAACTCTTTTGAAAGCCTGTTTTGTCTGTTTAAAGTTCTTGATGTCTTTCTACTGGAATGCATACATGGGATAACCTTTTACTCCCTTTTGGCCTTTGAAGATTTTCACCTTAAGCCTGTGATTGTCACATTAAGAAGATTAACTCACAGATCACCATGTGCAGGCGGCTGAAACCTGGAGGTGGAGGCGTGAATGCTGCTATCTTCAGTGCTGCAGGTCCTGCCCTGGAGGTTGCAACCAAGGAACAGGCTAAATCTCTTTCCCCTGGGAATGCGGTGGTTGTCCCACTCTCTTCAGCATCTCCCTTGCATAGTAGTGAAGGGGTGACCCATGTTATACATGTTCTTGGACCTAATATGAACCCAAATAGACCAAATTGTCTTGATGGTGACTATCTTAAAGGCTGCAAAATTCTTCGAATGGCTTACACATCACTTTTTGAAGGTTTTCTATCGGTAGTAAGGTCCCAAGAAAAGTTACCCAAGGGAAGCATTGAAAAAATTGGGTCAAAGCCTTCAGTCTTACTAGGTCACTCTAAAGATGCCCCTAAAATTTTTTCTTTAAAAAGTGATCAAAAGATAAAAAGAGATGGTGTATATGAACATGAAAGAAGCAAGAAGTGCAAGGGGTCTCAAAATGAAGTAGGATCCGATATTAATGTTTCTAGGGCTGGAAAGGTAAATGCCAACAATGACAATACTGGTGGAAGTAATTCTAAGGTCTGGGCCTCCTGGGCTCAAGCTCTTTACAACATTGCCATGCATCCTGAAAAGCATAAGGATGATCTGCTTGAGATAACAGACGATTTTGTTGTACTAAATGATCTTTATCCGAAGGTACATGTGTCGTGTCATCTCCCCCTTTCCTAATATGCTCAAGTTGAAGTAAAAATAACATATGGGTATCTTATTCTCTTTTACAGGCAAAAAAACACATTTTGGTGCTGGCACGATGTGATGGTCTTGATCACTTGGCAGATGTCAGTAAAGAACATCTTCAACTCTTAAAAATGATGCATGCTATGGGTTTGAAGTGGGCCGAGAAGTTCTTGCTTGAAGATGCATCACTGGTCTTCCGCCTCGGATATCACTCGGTATATGATAATTGTTTTCTTCCTTTGCATTTTCCTTTTTGTCCTTTCTCAACTCCTCATGCTTTCCTCGACATTAACGTAGCTTTGGTTGACTTAAATGCAAATATCTTTTTGGGACCAAATTTGGTTCTGAATGTAGTAATTTGGTTGTGGAAGTAGATCTCTCGCCAGGACTTCATGTGGTATTGGGCCCTTGACGTGGTTGGGATGCAACATAGGAGTAAAATGGATCTAGAACTGAAAGAACTCAGAAATTAGAGGCAATACCAATTGAAGGTCAAATTATGCAGTTGACTAATTACCGGAGCTAGGAGTCATGTCTTTGTCAAGAGAACTTGGTTTAGATGTGAAGATCTGTTGTTGCCGTGATTTAAAATATTGATTTTTTTTAATATTGAGAATCATTACTGCTAGTTGTTTAAGTATTTTAGAAACTGTAGCTTTGACTTCCAATTTCCATATTGTTTTTCCTTTTTTTCTCTGGTCTATTTGGTTAATTGTTTCCATCTCATTTCCTGCAGAAATGTTCAGCGGCACAGCTCTCAATTTAGGTATAGATTAACGGAAATTATAATTTTCTAACAGGCATTTTCGACTCTCTATTGCAGGTTCCATCTATGCGCCAACTACACCTACATGTTATTAGCCAGGATTTTGATTCTAAACATCTTAAGAATAAGAAGCACTGGAACACTTTCACTACTGCATTTTTCCGCGATTCAGTTGATGTAATCGAGGAAATCAGTAACCATGGGAAAGCAACACTAATGGATGAAGAGAGCGTGTTGTTAATGGAATTGCGCTGCCATCGATGTAGAAGTGCACACCCCAACATACCCAGGCTTAAATCGCATATTACCAATTGTCGAGCGCCCTTCCCTGCCAACCTACTTCAAAATGGCCGGCTTGTGCTTGCACCAAGTGACACCTAGATCTTTATAAATCATATTTTGTCAAAATCTATGGTGCATAGTGTCTGGTTAGTGTAAGATTTTTGGTTGCCCATGGGACACTGTTAATGAAACTTTTGTATAGATGTCAGTATATGCTAAACCAGTTTTTGCCCTGATCATGGAGTTGTTGCTAGTAATGGGATCCAAAAGCAATTGCTGTCGCTCTATTTACAAAGTTGGAATCTTGTTAATATTAAATTAATTTTCTATATGATTCTCTTGTTATATTGTAACTTATGAATTGAGCTGATTTATATGCTGGAGTTATAATCGGGGTAGGACCATTCTTTTTTGTTCTTCCACATGATATGTCAAAACAGCAGGAGACAAGTCGCATCCTCTTTACAATTCTGCCCACTGTAAAGATCTGATTGTTTCGCATATGGTGAGAGTTATATCTTGAATGATTATGAAAGCTCTGCAACAGTATGTTGGACCATTTTTGGTGGACTTAAAGACACGTGTTCTCTTGAAGAAAAAAATAAATAAAAGAGGGATATGCCGACCTTTTTTTTCCAAATGATATTTGTGTTCGTTTTCACACTTTGATATCGACTTGTCTTCTGTTCCAAACTGTCATGAGTTCACTATTTTAATAGCATTTGTCCTTTATTTAATATTTTTGTGGACGACTTGTCGTGCGTTCTCATGTCACCCTTCTACCTTTTACCGCCATTTAATACAGTTATATTTTCTTTCTAGATTATTAAATGAATTGACCCCAAAGAAGGATCGTTACAAGGGTCCAGAAGTATAACGAAGTTCCCATGAACCCAGAGACGAATCTTTTAATGGAAGTTATTCTCCAGAAGAATAATTAAGTTCGTGCTCTTTGCATCTGAACTTAGAATGTTATGGAATGCAACTCTACAAAAGTCATAACTATAGTAGACCAATTTTTTTTAATGACACTAGTATGTTTAATTAAGTATCTCAATTTAAAATTATCAACTGAATAAGAGTTTATATTGACATACAAGACCGTATTAATCAATCAGCATAAATATCTGTTTCTGTGGAAGGCAATGCAAGCATGCCAACACTGCAGTGAGAGCTCCGCCGCCAATTGGAACTTTCTTCACGTGTGAGACCCACTTGTCTTCTACCAGCAAATTTTTCCATCTATCAGTATTTTTTATTTAGATTTAGGTAAGGCCAGAATGGGGGCCACGATCTTGAAGTTTCGAAAAGTAGGTTAAAGAAAACGTGAAGCATCTTTCATTAATGTCAAAATTTTTTCCTATCAGTCCATGAATGTGTTGATTTTGGCATTTTGCAGAAGAAGACTAGATAAATGAAGAACAAATGATTCAGTACTTTGATTAAAAAGAAATATACCCGCAAAAACAACAGCACCTGGCAAATGAAGTAAACCGTTCACGAAACTAAAACTCAAGTAACACATAAGGTACCACTCAACTAATTAGGACTGGTGGGTAATAGTATTCACTTGGCTATACAAGCACAATTCTACTGCGGGTTTGGTGGGCGGCTGTTGGCGGCCGAGACCCTGGAACCCCATTCCAACAACTCTTTGCTGGTATCATCCCTGTGAACAATTATCTCAATGAAGCACAAGCAATCCTTCTTTGGTCCAGTTGCCTCCTTTATTGCTTCAATCAACTCCTCCTCACAGCGGACCTGCAACAACAAATTCAACAAAAAGGTTTTAGAATCATTGCGTTGATTTTCCATTGGCCCTGATGGAAGAAAGCCAATGCAGTAATGTTGACCAACTAACCTTTTTTGTCCAGCACTTGCCCTCGCCATTGTGGATTGCATCAACCAATCCAGTGTAGTTCCAGTTCTTTATCACATTGTAAGGTCCATCATGAATCTCAACTTCAATGGTATAACCACCATTGTTAATCAGGAAGATGATAGTCTTCTGCCCACATCGCAGCATTGTTGATACATCTTGTGCAGTCACCTGAGAGCAATCACCAAGCAAAATATAAAATATCCATGAATTAAAAGATAATAACACGTTGGAAGGATCTTGAGGTGAGATGATGCAAGATATGGCATGAAGAGCTACCACCACTTCACCTTCTTCGTATTCAACTTGACAGATTACACAACGATCGATACCCGATTTGCTGTCGAATGAACCTTTGCTTGGATGCAAACATTTCGATATTTCATTTAATGATAGACCTCTTTTTTCTTCTCCGATGAATTCTCCCAACGCGATCAACTCTTCGTATGTTAATTCGTCTACATCGATATCATCTTCTTCTTCTTCTTCATCTTCATCCATTGCATCATCAGCCTCGGAGTTGCTATCTTGTCCCTCCAGGAACTCTAGTTCAGCTTCGAACTCATTATGCCCTTCCAAGTATTCGTAATTATTTTCGAAAGTTTCTTCTTCATCGGTTTGATCATCGACGTCGCTACTCTCACTTTCGATGGTGGTGAGCATTGTGGAAGCCCTCTCTTGTTCTTGTAACGCCATTGCAATGGCGAAATCCGTGCTGACTTGATTGAGTTCGGCGAAGGGAACCCTGCTTCTCGCCGTTTGTTTTCGCTCTTCGTCATGATTATTTGCCATTGTTAGATTGATAATGGAGAATATTATTGATGATATGTTGAAATTATACAGAGTGCAATACTTACGTACAAATTCGTCATTAATCATATATGAGGACTATGTTTAAGGTTTCTTAAAAGAAAAGTAACGTTAAAAACAAGAAATGGAAAACCATCTCTAACTAGTATACTACAATAAGCCTATATTCCTAATGTAAAATGGGCAACTTTCATGTAAATATTGCAGAGGAAAAACAATTCTCTACGTTACAATATACCTTATCCAAGAACTGGAACTACCCATTTTTGTATCTACCTCATCATTGCCTCAACTCTAGGCAATTCCTTTTCTGCATAATTTCTGCTTCATTCATAGTAGCTTTTCGATTCACTTAGGCCTCTTTGGTAGATTATTTGGAAAACAATTGGTTGTGTTTGTTTCACTATTTTTTTCTATCCTATTTCTATCCTACTCAAAATACAATACATGTTTGTTTTGTTATCTCAAAATCCAATTCTATTTTATTTAACTTTTTAAACCCTTAGGTTTGTTAATTTAGCTAAACACCCCTTACAATAATATTAAAAATTAACAAAAACACCCCCACTTACCCATTAAATGCAGGCAACCGGTCACCACCGCTAGAGGGTGGTCGAAAGTTGTTGTAATGACACATGACCTGCTGGATCTGATCGGTTGTGCGACGATCTGGCCATGGATGACGACTAAATAGGTAATGGTTGACGACCAGATCCATGGCTAGATCGACGCACGACCGGCCAAATCCAACAGGTTGTGCGCCATTAAGATGACTTTCGAGCACCCTCCGGCGATGGCGGCAGACTATCGGCATTTAATGAGTAGGCGGGGGGGAGTGTTTAGCTAAATTAACAAACTTAAAGGGTGTTTTTGTTAATCTTCAAATCGTTTCCTCTTAATAACAACTCAACTCAATTTTTTCAAAAATGCTACTCAAAATAATAATTAAAAAAACAGCCAATATTTTTCTTACAATTGAGTCATTCAAACAGACAAAAATTGCACAAAATTTATGTAAAATAACTATCTTATCCTTTGTTTTTTGTTTGTTTGTAGAATATTTTAAGTTGAGTTGAGTTGGATTAAATCAAATTTTGAAAAATGTGTTTGTAAAATATTTGAAAAGTATATTCAGAGTTTGATAAAATATTGAATAGTTGTTTGGTACATTTTCTGAAAATATTTTAGATTTTGTTTTTTTAACCCTCTATATTTTTCAATTTAGCTAAAAACCCCCCACAATAAAAGTTTAAAAATTAACTAAAGCACCTCAGCCATCCAAGAGGACAGTCAGCCGTCGGCTAAATCCACTATGGATTTGACCGGAAACAGCCAGACCTATAGCCAGAATCTGGCCATCATCAACGGCTGGATCTGGCCGTAGATCTGGTTGTCGGAAATGCCAAGATCAGCACATAGCCTATTAGATCTGGCCGGTCGTACATTGTTTCGCTACAACGACTGATAGTGGTTGCTGGCAGGCCATGGTGGTCTTGGATGGATTAATTTTCAAATTGGAAGGAATTAAAAGTAATTGTTTTTAGTTGAATAAAGTTGAAAAAATGTTTTGAGTTGGATAAAATATGATAATAGAAAATAAGTCCCACCACTTTTCATTTTGAGATGAAAAATCCTATTTGAGTTAGATTAATTTTTGGAATGAATTGACCCAATAAATAAACAAATACATTTTATTTTTTAATCCAAATAGGATAACAAGATAATGATTCAAAATAGTGTAACAAACATAGGCTTATTTTCTGGCTTTGTACTGCAAATTAAAAGACTAGTAATAATTAAAAGATTTATGTAGATTTCCCACGAGCTGCAGTTTAAGATCAAATAAGATGAACTTTTTCACTGAGTGGAGATGGTGGTTACTAAAAAAGTTGTTAAAATAAGGCAACTTCGTGGGAAACCATATATAATGTAAAACGACATTTCGGATGGAATTTGATATTCCAAGGGATCAGATACCACTCTTGCCACACTTTCGGCCAGATTCTCTTGGGGAAAGGAAGCTTCAATGGACTAAATTAAAGCAAACGTTTGTCATAAGGTAGAAATTAGAATTATACCTAACAACTTGCATATTATGAACGCATTCAAAGCAATATTTAATCTACCGTTCCATGTGTTTTGTTTATTGCTTTGAAGTT